TCATTTAATAGTTTTTTGTTGTTATTGTTTAAAGTGAAGATCTGGTTGTACCAAATTCTGTCTTTGTATAACCGATTGTCTTTATTTTGCCTTCACTCTTGAATAACAGTTGACAGTACTTTGTTTTCAACATTTAAAATATATTACTCCATTGTGTTCTGGCGTCTCTTACTATTCATGACAGTCTAATAATCTATTTTCTCTCATAGCTTTGAATTTTTAAATCTTAATTTATGAATTTAAAAAATATTAATATCAATGTGAATTAAATAAAATTTTCTAGCTCTTTTATGGCATGCATCTCAGCCCAGAGCATTTTCCTTAATTGTGATAATAGAAAAGGAATGGGCTTTGAAGTCAGGTAGATTTGATTTTGAAACAGAATTCTGATATTTGCTGCATTGATCTTGTGCAAGGGAATTCTCCAAGCTCCCTTTTCACCTCTTTAGAAAACTATCTATTATTACCTACATTGCGGAGTTAATGCAAGAATTCAATGATAATATATACTTCCAAAATATTTGTTATAATGGTCATCATTATCTTGTCTTTGCTTCATTCTTATCTCTAATCTTAGGCAAATCCTTCACATTCTACCTCAGCTTTCTCGTCTGTCATATTGAGGGCAGTAATTCAGACCTGGCAGGGCTGCGTGAGAAGCAACTGAGAAAATGTAATGTCTAAAGTATATTCTGCCCTCAATAAATGTTGCTGTGTTGTTATTATTCATTTTCTTTTATCTAAAGAAAGGTAAATGAGGTGGCAGCAGTAGCATGGCAGAAAACTCGATTGCAGGTTGAATTCAGTCTGCCACTGTTCTGAGTCTATACACAAGTCCTCCCCTCTCTGCGTTTTTACTTCCACTCCTGACTACAGGGAAAGCAATTCCTGTCCCCTAGTACTTGGTGGGGGCCTGAATGACATTGCGAACATTAAGATCCTGCAATTTTAGCAGATTCTGCCTGATAAAAGAGCCAGGCCGGGCCACCTAAGCATAGAGAAGCCTTTAGGAAGGCTTGGTCATGGCCACTTGTTCTGGGAGGCGCTCCCTGACAGACACTCATGTGGCCTTCCTGGCCCTGTCCAAGTGAACTTTGATGCTAGGTCAGACAACAGGCAGGTAAAAAAATGAAAGTGTGGAAATATTGTGCAATCGTGCCTCTCAGCTGTCACACCCAGGCTGCTTTTTAAACTGACATGCTGGATTACTTCCGGGAACTATTATTACCTTCCAGAGGTTCATAACAGTGAAACAAGCAGGCATTTGGTGAAAACCCAGAATGAAAGGGTAAAGGTGCTAGCACCAACTTGTGATCCAGGTACCCTAGGAACTGAAATCACATCAGTCGATGGTGTTTTTTAAAAACAGAAACTTTGGTTCATTTAGCTCCATTAGGACTAAAAGTTTACGTGATAGCCTACCTTTGCTAACTAACTAATTTTGCTAGAAACACTGCTTGCAGCAGAGAAAGAAAGTCTGCCTACTTTAGTTCACAGCATAGGTTCTTTCAGTGAAAAAGAATTAAGGGGAAGAGAATGAAAAGGAATTAAGGAGAAGAAAGGAGTCAACTACCTTTAAAAGAGGCTGTTCTGGGAAGAGGTGACAGAGTCCCCCACGGGATCATTGTGATATTCCACACGATCATTGTAATGATCAGCCTGCTACGCTGACACACAAACCCTGTACCCATTCACAGTGACAAGGACCGTGTGGGAGTTGTAAGATATATAGAGCTGGCCCCTGTGGCTGGGGGAAGGGGCCAGGGAACAGAGGGCTCTTTTTCCTAATTAGCTGTTTTCATACAGGGAACACATGACCCAAACACAACCACCAACTGCGTCTTTGACATATACAGGCAGAAAGGGGGAGCTGGGCTTTTGTCTGCCGCAAGTTCTTTCAACTTGCCTGTCACCCCAAGCTGCAAAACTCAACAATGAGTCAGATGAGCTGGGCCATTTCAGATAGTTTGCTAAATGGACTTGGAGACAGGTATTATTTCAACCCACTCAGGGTTGAAAAATACTGTAAAACATTAATATCTCATTTTCCCCTTTTCTAAGTGATTTGTGATCATCTTCTTTTGCCACTTGCCTGAGTTTCCAGTATATCTATCCCAAAATAGTGTGTGGTTCAAAAAGAAACACATTTCAAGGAACATATTTCTTAGTAAAGAATTCAACCCATTCATAAAGCCTAATCATTCTCCTGCTCAAACTTTTTTTTACACTGACTGTTAACTTGGTAAGCACAGATGAATTTCAAAGAATATTGCAAAGGGAATTACTTTCCCTGCCTAATGAAAGCACCTGCTAGCACATGTGGTCAGTTTAAAAATCAGCAAATTGAAGAATAGAGGATAAAGCATGGAGAGGATGCCCACTGTGTGGATGTGGATATGTGTGTTTGTGTGTGATATTATTGATTTTCTGACTTGGAAGTAATGAAAAAAAATCTCAAATATTTTCCAACAGTTCACTTAAGGGAAAACAGTTCTGCATGAATGATTTTTCCAGAGCTAGAGGTAACATGTGCTAACACTAACTGTGCTAAACTGGAAGTCATCAAAATGCCATGCCTGATGGCACTGCCCAGGTAGCAGTCACCAGAGAATTTCCATATACAGCTCAAAGATAATTTCCATCTATAGCCAAGGATTCAGAGAACCTTCCAATGCTGAGATTAAAGAAATTCACAACAAAACACTTCTCCAAGTGAGTAAACACAGTCTTTCCTGGACAGGGCTGTTTAGAAAAAATAGTGCCTTCTTTGTTTTCCCACATATTTACTTCGTTGTATAGCACAACTGGAAAATGGTGACAAGACCATAAAAAGCTAGATGGAAAAGTGTCAAATTAAACCACAGCAAAACCCAGAGCTGATTGGCTTAATTGGAGATAATGAGAAACAAAACCACAACCCTTACTTGCAAAGTAAAATAGAGAACTGAAGCAATTACCCAGAAAATTTACCAATGGCCCTTTGCCGAAATGCCTAGAAAACTGAAACCAAAATGTTTTGGGATTTCAAATGTCTAGATAATGCCTAAAAGTCCCGTCTCACTTGCCAGTGATGATCTGGACTCAGAACATATTCCTTTCTTTCTGGTGAAAAGTAGAAAACTGTCCGAAAATGTAGTGTAACATTCACCACAATTCAGTGATCAGGTTGCTGCCCACAGAGACTACTATCAATCCCTCTGGGCAGAGATTTCAAGCCCTGTTATACTAGAAAGCAGTAGATGAAGACGAGGTGGGGACGTCTCCTGGAGGTGATGAAGACTTACAGGGTCAGTGAAACAAAGGGGAAAGTGAATGCAAATGCCCTCTTTTAGGAATTAGACTAGAGTACATTTTTAAAGAAAACTTAAGGTCATCTACCCAGAGCTAGAGTATGATCAATCAAGCCATTTGCAAGTGTTCAAACTCAGAGGCTTCTTCACGTGCCCAGTCTGGAAGTCCACAAATACGGGATTCTACAAATTCGTGCTGTGGAAGCAGCAATCACTGGGGGACAACTAGGAAAGGGGAGCACAGCCACTGCAATTTTTTCTTCTTTAAGCTCAGATAGTACTATCTGTGGGCAAAACCACTCATGGTTCTGATTGATACTTTACTTTTGGCATATATGCCATCTCTCTCCCTGAAAGTCCTAACAATGTCGTGTCTCCCCAGAACAGATGTGTTTCAAGGTAGTGACCTTACAGAGACAGCAAGTTAGACCATGGTAGATTTGATGACCAGAGCCCAGAGAAAAAAGTATTTGGAGATGGGGAGGGCTGGTGGGGGCCTTACCGAAGCTGGGGGCACTATGCAAGGTCATGTCCCGGATCACCCTCGTGCCAAAACAGGACCACATCAAGAGGAACTGCTGGGCCACTTTCTTCAAGGACCCTTGTCTCTTGGCAGCCACCTACAAGAAAGTGAATGGCTTTAATAGTGGTTGACTTGACCTTTCATTTGTTACTGTCTCTTTGAAAAATGAGGCTGGTTGCAGTGGCTCATGCCTGTAATCCCAGTACTTTGGGAAGCCAAGGTGGGTGGATGATCACTTGAACCTAGGAGTTTGAGACAAGCCTGGGCAACATGGCAAAACCCCATCCCTACAAAAAAAAAATACAAAAATTAGCTGGGGATGGTGAAACACCCCTGCATTCCCAGCTACTCAGAAGGCTGAGGTGGGAGGATCACATGAGCCTGGGGAGGTCAAGGCTGCAGTGAGCTGTGATCTCACCACCGCACTCCAGCCTGGGCAACAGAGTGAAACCCTGTCTCAAAAATAAATAAATAAATAAAAAGAGAAAAATGACAGGAAGGCTTATGAGTCTTCAAAGTCAATGCTATGGAGCAATGGTTTTTGTTTTGTTTGTAGCAGCAAAAATACTTTAAAAAATGAAATCTTATGCCAAGACTCAGTGTATACAGCAGATAAAAGAGATGCTGACCTGATTGAATCAGAGATAAAAGACTCAAGAGTCCTGCCTCCTGCTACCTCTACCTCCTGGGGCCTCTCCTCAAAACCCTGTTCAGATAGCTAACCACAGGGCTTTGTCTTAGCCAAGTTCACAGGGGGCAGTGCTGGACTGCAGGACCGAAGCCTACCCCCTCAGCGTCGGTTTACCAACCTTCACAACACAGCGGTCAACCATGGTATCCAGCCACTCAATGTAGGACTCAATGGGAGACTGCTCTTCCAAGAGGTGGTCAAACTCCTGATACACTGTCAAATAAAGGAGAGCCCCACACACATCACTCATTTGTATTTAACAAGAGCTATGTCTTAAAAGAACAGAGGAACAAAATTTTGAATAAAGTAAAACTTTAAATAAACACAACTCCCAGGTCTTAGCAGAGCATTCAAGACTTTATAAAACATGCCCCAACTTACCTTTCCAAGATCATCTTCCATGCCCGTGAACATGTTAAACTGTGGCTACCTCATATTACTTGCCATTCCCCCAACAAGCCCTGCTTTTTTCATAACCTTAGTCCTTTTTTTTCAGGCTGTTCCCACTACTTGGTTCCTCATGGCCCAGCTGAAACCCCTGGTATGAAATCCCTTTAACCTTCATGCCCCTTGCCAGCAGAACTGATCACTCCTCCTCTACACTCACATAGCACTTTATTATTGGTTTTCTACCTTGATTATATGACTAACGGCACTGTGGTATAGTTCAGTGTGCATGTGTGTCTCCCTGCTAGTTCTTTGTCTGATATCTTTATTAGCTGGTGCATTATCTGTGACCTAGTTGTTACCCAACAAATTCTTGCTTGACTTAATGGGCGAGGCATTGCTACTCTCTTGCTCTCTGCCCAGGGTAGGGCACATTTGATAATTCAAATGTTTCTGGACCACAACTATATCAGGCAAGTCACTTGAGAAGCCTCTCTGTGTGATGTGTAGTAGGTGTTTAATAGATATTTGCTGAGTAAGTGAAACAATCTCTCAGCCCCTCAGTTTCCTCATTAGAGAGATAATCTTACCACTTTACAACCTGTCTTCACCTTAAGTCAGATAACTGAATCTGGAAGTGTTTTTTAATCAATAAAGTACTCTAGAAAATGGAAACATGGCTCTGGTGATCCCTAGTTTGAAACATCTCTTTTTGTCACATTTTTGTGTTTCTGTATGCAGAGATGAATAAATCAAACCACAATTCAAGATCATACGTTTCTTTCATTTTCATTTGAACAGTTTTTGTTCTCTCATTTTAAAGGACTGGCCCTTTTGCTCTATTTTACTTAGTTGGTGCTTGCTACAAGAAGTAAGATTCTGAGACCAGAAGGTTATAACACTAGAATGAGAATGGGCTTTAAAAGTCAATTTTGTTGATCTGTCTCATTTTATAGATGAAGAGCTGTCTCAATGAGATTAAACAACCCACTAAAAGTCAGAGGGTAAATTAGTGACAGAGCTCAGGCTGAAACCCAGGTCTCTGGATTTCTCTTTGGTGTTTTCAGTCTCCATAATGCTATCTGTATATCAGAGCTATTGTGCTTTAATTCACGATGATAGTATTGATGGTAGTGTGATAAAAAATGCTAAGAGCTAACATTATTGAGTGCTTGCCATGTACCAGGCACCCTTCTAAATGCCTCCCATGGATGCCTTAAGACAACCCCTAAAATGTGAATATCATAGGGGCAGGACTGTGTCATGTTCACTGTTTGACTTCAGTGGCTAGAACAGCGCCTGGTACAGAGTAGATGCTCAAATGTTTGTTGACTGAATGGATGAAAAACCCAATGAGGTAGGTACTATTATTATCCCCCATTCTACAAGGGAAGAAACAGAGGCAAACAAAGATGAGTAACCTTCCAAAGGTTGTTCTTTCACAACTAGTGAATACCAGAGGCAAAACTCAAACACAACCTGACTCAAATGCTGGCCTCCTAACCACTTCACTATGCTAGCACTGGACTGTGTACCAAGCATGTGGCACACATTGTCTCGTTTAATCCCTTCACATGAGTCCCGTTTTACAGAAATGGAAACCAAGGTCACAGTGCGCTGGAGCCAAGGTTTGAATCAAGGTCTTTTGGGCATCCCAGCCCCATGCTGTGTAAGACCATGGTTTGTTGAGCATCCCAGCCTCATGCTGTGTCAGAGCTGTGTAAGAGCAAGGTTTGAACTAAGGTCTGTTGGGTATCCCAGCCCCAGGGATCCCAGCCAACAGACCTTGGACATGTGACTGGGATGCCCAACAGACCTTAGGGAGTTACAATTATAACTCATTCTAATCAGCTTGCTTAAGTACTAATGTGCACTTTTAAAATCTAATGTAAGCTGAGCATTGCCAGCTGAGATCTACATCACAGAGGTAATGGTAACCCCCTAAGCAAGAGTTTGCAGATTTTTTAGCTGGCTATGAGGAAAGAAGAGCATTGTACACAGTTGTCCCAACCCTGCTCAAGCTGACCTTTGGTCCAACTCCCTGTATGTTCAGGGACTTCCCAGCTGTCTGGTTGGGAGGTACAGGGTTGACACCCATGTGCTGGACCACCTTGAGGCTTGGTACCCTACCTCAACTGCCCCTGCACAGCACTGCCTTACATGGCATTGTTCTCTTTGATAAGATGCAACACATCTGTAAGCACATGTTCAAGGTCTGATTTGCCATTAACTGTAAGCTCCGTGTCGGGAAGGGATGTGTCCATCTTACTCACTGCTCTTTGCCCAGCATCTAATACAGTACCTGACTTAGGACAGGCATTCAGTAAGGACTAGCTGGGTTGAACTCAACCATGGCACTTCCTTCCCCAGAAGAAGAATACAATCACAGCTTTAAAGGGCACCATTCTGCTCTGGACCTAAGGGAACTTGAAGAGAAAACCACAGAAGGTTCTTTCTTGAGAGAGGCAGCAGTGACCTCCCTGGTGCTCCAGCAAAGGCTCAGGGCCTGGTCCCTTAAGCGAGCAATGCTGATTGTATTTTTCCCTATGAGTCTGGTTCACCTTTTCCTCCTCATGAAAGGTGCTGAATGGGGAAGAGAATTGAGTCAAACACTGCTAGGAGAGTTCGCAGAGCTAAGAACTAGGTTCACTCTGGGTTTCCACTCATCTTTCTGGTGTTCCATGGACCTTGCTGGACATCTGCTTGGTGCCTGGCCCACTGAGAGTTCCCAGGGACACAATGATCAGTGATACCCCCAGTGCTATTAGGGTGTGCAGGGCCATGCTTTCTGTTTACCTTCCAGTAGGGTAAAGGGAAAAGCAGAACAGGAAGCATGACTGTAAGCACTTGGAAAGATCCTGGAACCACCCACATTTCCTTTTTTTTTTTTTTTTTTTTGTTTTCTCTGCATATTTACAATATGAGCAGCACTAAGGCCTGGTGGTGAAGCCGAGACTAGACTTGGGTTCAGCTCTATTGCTTAGTGGCTGCGTGACCTTGAGTTAGGTTCACCAACTTTCTGAGGCCGAGTTTTCTCATCTGTAAAGTGGAGGTGATAAGAGTGTCTTCCTCGTGGGGTTGATGTGGAGATTAAATGGAACCATGTATGTGTTGGATTTGACACAGGAGCTGGCTTAGAATAGGCAGTCAATAAGTGGAATTATTATTTTAGTGATGATTTCTAAAATTCTCAACACGGGAAAGGTGGGCTGGGGGCAGCTGTGAAGGAAGAAGTAACAGCCTGAGCTGAGCTTGCAGCTAAGCCAGGAAAGAAGCCCTGGGGAAAGTCCACGTATTTGAACATTTCAGCTGTTCCATTTGGTTTTGAAAAGGGCTTAATGAGAAAGAGATCTCTAATAGGACCCTCTTAGAGAACTTTATTTGTTTAAAGGCACGTCAAGCTTAGACTGGGTAGCTGAAGAAAGAGTTTCCTCAAGACAGCAGTGCAGAAGGCATATACTAAAAAATCTGAAGGGCTTTCAGAAAGACCCTTCTTCTTGGTGGGAGAACCTCTCTGCCACTCCCCAAGCAATGTCACTGTTGGGATCCTGGGCCTCACCCCATTGAGAACATGGGGGTGGCATGCTCTCAACACCTTTCTGAGACCTGATGGAAGGAGTGCCCACTCACCTCTCCTGACCTCATGTTCTCTAATTAAGGAGGTAGCCTGTAGATGCTAATGGATGGATCCAGGGTCCCTGGACTGGAGGATACCCTGGGCAGTCAGCTGGGATGGGCATCTAAGGAATAGCAGGGATGTGCTAACAATGATAGTGTTCTCTGGCCCTCTCATACTGCTTTAGTACTGACAGCAAATATCCCATCCACATTGGGATAATATCTGGAGCAGTATACCTGCAGCCTGCATGTTGGAAGTCTTTGTTCACTGGGACATGAACGTATATTCACAGAAGTAAAACACCATCCACCTGCTTCTCAAACATTTAACATGATTGAAAGGTTCACCTGCCAATAGGTGGGCTGACTCATGTGACCCTCAAATGAAAAATAGGCAGCATATCTAGCTGACTCCAGGCTGACATACACTGAGAGAGGCAATAAGCTTTTGTTCTCATATTTAATGCACCTTCATGGAACTGTGGCTGGTGTTCAGGTCACATGTGGGGCCCTTTGCATGACATTGTGTGCTGCCCAATTGCACCAGAATACTCTTTACCTAGCAGTGTTGACACATGTCCTCTTAAGTCAATTAGCTCTTCCTTCTGGACTGACTCATTTAAAAGGAACGATAAGGAGGAGGAGATGCTGGGAAGGACAGGGTGGGGATGCCATTTCAGTATTTACTAAGATACTTTTTCTTCCTTTCTTTTAAAAACAAACAGAAGGACAGCAATCCCTGGTGGGACATCTTACATTGGATGATGAGTTTCCGGTGTTCATCGCGAGAGTCTTCCATGGTGTAAAGGGTTTGCTTGGTGATGCTGTTCAGGTCCACGTTCCTCCAGTCTTCCAGCATTTGGAATGTGATGTCTGCGCTGTGGATCACTGTTCGAGATGCCTAGAATCCAATCCAATCAACTCATTACCTCATGGGTTGTTAGGTTAAAACGTCTTCACTGTTTTTTCCTTTATGCCTTGTTAATGGATCTGCTTATGGTATTTTGCAAACTAACTTGAAATTATGGGAAATTCAATTACAAGAAAGCACCAGAAGACTCCATAACTCAGAAGATACAGACGCTGTTTTCTCCTATGGCTCTTTCCACACATCTCTTCTTCTCTGCAAGAAACTACCAGGGTGGGCTGGGCCAGACCAGACCCTGCTGTTTCCAGTCCCTTTGGTCTTGACCCCATGGAACAATAGGATGAAGCCTGAGATCTGTCAGCTTTCCGATGTAAGCCTGTGGGATGGGAGCACTGTGTTGAATAATCCCTGTGTCTCTAGTGCCTGAGAAGCTACAGGCCGAGATTTAGAAGTGTTCTTGCTACCCCTGGGCCTGACTTAATCCCAGAAATTTCAAAGTGTGTATTTTTCATATAAATACATTCTGAAGCAGTTTGTGCTCTAGTTTTCTGGTTTTGCTTTTTTTTAAAAAAATGTAACTATAATGATTAAAACATGACTAATTGAGTTGGGGGAAGGGGAAACTATACCATACATCTCAGTAGTTTATTAGTGGGTAGGTGGATGA